CAGTGACACGCCTGGACACGTCATGGACCAGTGACACGCCATGGACACGTCATGGACCAGTGACACGCCTGGACACGCCATGGACCAGTGACACGCCTGGACACGTCATGGACCAGTGACACGCCTGGACACGCCACGCCTGGACACGCCATGGACCAGTGACACGCCTGGACACGCCACATCACTGGTCCATGGCGTGTCCGGGCGTGTCACTGGTCCATGGCGTGTTTGGGCGTGTCACTGGTCTATGACGTGTCCAGGCGTGTCACTGGTTCATGACGTGTCCATGGCGTGTCACTGGTCAATGGCGTGTCACTGGTCCATGGCGTTTCCAGGCGTGTCACTGGTCCATGACGTGTCCACGGCGTGTCACTGGTCTAAGGTGTGTCCAGGTGTGAGCAGCCCGGACACGTCATGGACCAGTGACACGCCATGGACCAGTGACACGCCTGGACACGTCATGGACCAGTGACACGCCTGGACACGCCATGGACCAGTGACACGCCTGGACACGCCATGGACCAGTGACACGCCTGGACACGTCATAGACCAGTGACACGCTTGGACACGCCACGCCTGGACACGCCATGGACCAGTGACACGCCACGCCGTGTCACTGGTCCATGGCGTGTCCGGGCGTGTCACTGGTCCATGGCGTGTCCGGGCGTGTCACTGGTCCATGGCGTGTACGGGCGTGTCACTGGTCCATGGCGTGTCCGGGCGCGTCACTGGTCCATGGCGTGTCACTGGTCCATGGCGTGTCCAGGCGTGTCACTGGTCCATAGCGTGTCCAGGCGTGTCACTGCTCCGTGACGTGTCCACGGCGTGTCACTGGTCCATGACGTGTCCATGGCGTGTCCAGGCGTGTCACTGGTCCATGAGGTGTCCACAGTGTGTCACAGGTCCAGGACGTGTCCACGGCGTGTCACTGGTCCATGGCGTGTCCAGGCGTGTCACTGATCCATGACGTGTCCACGGTGTGTCACTGGTCCATGGCGTGTCCGGGCGTGTCACTGGTCCATGACGTGTCCAGGCGTGTCACTGGTCCATGGCGTGTCCAGGCGTGTCACTGGTCCATGATGTGTCCACGGTGTGTCACAGGTCCATGACGTGTCCATGGCGTGTCACTGGTCCATGGCGTGTCCGGGCGTGTCACTGGTCCATGGCGTGTCCAGGCGTGTCACTGGTCCATGACGTGTCCACGGTGTGTCACAGGTCCATAGCGTGTTACTGGTCCACGGCGTGTCACTGGTCCATGGCTTGTCACTGGTCCATGGCGTGTCACTGGTCCATGACGTGTCCACGGTGTGTCACAGGTCCATGACGTGTCCACGACGTGTCACTGGTCCATGGCATGTCCGGGCGTGTCACTGGTCCATGACGTGTCCATGGCGTGTCCAGGCATGTCACTGGTCCATGACGTGTCCACGGCGTGTCCAGGTGTGAGCAGCCCGGACACGTCATGGACCAGTGAGTCGCCTGGACACGCCATGGACCAGTGACACGCCTGGACACGCCATGGACCAGTGACACGCCTGGACACGTCATGGACCAGTGACACGCCATGGACACATCATGGACCAGTGACACGCCATGGACACGTCATGGACCAGTGACACGCCTGGACACGCCATGGACCAGTGAAACGCCATGGACCAGTGACACGCCTGGACACGCCATGGACCAGTGACACGCCATGGACACATCATGGACCAGTGACACGCCATGGACACGTCATGGACCAGTGACACGCCATGGACACGTCATGGACCAGTGACACGCCTGGACACGTCATAGACCAGTGACACGGCGTGTCACTGGTCCATGGCGTGTCCGGGTGTGTCACTGGTCCATGGCGTGTACGGGCGTGTCACTGGTCCATGGCGTGTCCGGGCGTGTCACTGGTCCATGGCGTGTCTAGGCGTGTCACTGGTCCATGGAGTGTCACTGGTCCATGACGTGTCCACGGCGTGTCACTGGTTCCATGGCGTGTCCGGGCGTGTCACTGGTCCATGACGTGTCCATGGCGTGTCCAGGCGTGTCACTGCTCCGTGACGTGTCCACGGCCTGTCACTGGTCCATGACGTGTCCATGGCGTGTCCAGGCGTGTCACTGGTCCATGACGTGTCCACAGTGTGTCACAGGTCCATGGCGTGTCCAGGCGTGTCACTGGTCCATGACGTGTGACCTGGACACGCCATGGACCAGTGACACGCCAAGGACTAGTGACACACCTGGACACGTCATGGACCAGTGACACGCCATGGATACATCATGGACCAGTGACACGCCATGGACACGTCATGGACCAGTGACACGCCTGGACACGCCATGGACCAGTGACACGCCATGGACCAGTGACAGGCCATGGACCAGTGACACGCCATGGACCAGTGACAGGCCATGGACCAGTGACACGCCATGGACCAGTGACACGCCTGGACACGTCATGGACCAGTGACACGCCTTGACATGTCCGGGTGTGTCACTGGTCCATGGCGTGTCCAGGTGTGTCACTGGTCCATGACGTGTCCATGGCGTGTCCAGGCGTGTCACTGGTCCATGACGTGTCCAAGGCGTGTCACTGGTCCATGGCGTGTCCAGGCGTGTCACTGGTCCATGACGTGTCCAAGGCGTATCACTGGTCCATGACATGTCTGGGCATGTCACTGGTCCATGGCATGTCCAGGCGTGTCACTGGTCCATGACATGTCTATGGCGTGTCCAGGTGTGTCACTGCTCCGTGACGTGTCCACGGCGTGTCACTGGTCCATGGCGTGTCCAGGCGTGTCACTGGTCCATGACGTGTCTGGGTGTGAGCAACCTGGACACGCCATGGACCAGTGACACGCCATGGACCAGTGACACATCATGGACCAGTGACACGCCTGGACACGCCACGGACCAATGACACGCCCGGACACGCCATGGACCAGTGACACGCCATGGACCAATGACACGCCTGGACACGCCATGGACCAGTGACACGCCTGGACACGTCATGGACCAGTGACACGTCCTGGACCAGTGACACGCCATGGACCAGTGACACGTCATGGACCAGTGACACGCCATGGACCAGTGACACATCATGGACCAGTGACACGCCATGGACCAGTTACACGCCATGGACACTTCATGGACCAGTGACACGCCGTAAACACGCCATGGACCAGTGACACGCCTGGACACGTCATGGACCAGTGACACGCCATGGACCAGTGACGCACCTTAGACCAGTGTCACACCTGGACACGCCTTAGACCAGTGACACACCTGGACACGCCTTAGACCAGTGACACACCTGGTGGGGAAGTGATTAGGAGTGGGCAAAATATATCGTAGACAATAATTTCGTGAACGCCAATTTGAAGATATGCTTTATTGTATTATCTTTTTTATTTTCCAATACATATTACAATTAGAGAAGGAAAGATGCCCATTGGTCTAATGTGTGCCTAAAAAGCCAATCACTGCTTTATTTGTACATTTCAGTAAATATTGAGCCTTTTTGGATGTGTTTTTTCTGTGTTTCTTGAATCTGATTTTTAATGTTAATATATGTTAGTGCATGTTTTGCAAAGATGTGTGTAGCACTTCAGAAAATAAAAAGCTTCATTTTTGATCTACACTGTCTCTTATCTATAGATTCCATGGCAAGCAAAACATTGCAGATCATTTTGTGTAACCATTTTTTATTTTAAAGATATCGTGACAATGTCGTTATCGGGAGTTGGGTATAAAGTATCAAGATATTTATTTTTGTCCATATCGCCCACCCCTAGATGTGATGCATGCTTGCAGATTGGCAGTTGAGTTCTGGTGGATACAGATATAGTTTGTGTGTGATTGACACGTCTCTGTTGGTAAGAGGCAGTTATGTCTGTAAACCTTTTGTTGCTTGATCTCATTTTCTTTTAGAATGGAGTGATTGTAGATGTACCATCTATTTAAGTGCAGGATAGAGACGGTGAAGCCAGTTGAAACTAGGAATAACTGGAATTCAGTGAAGGTATCAAGGGAATACATGACAAAGTTTGGCAGTAGACTGAAGAATAAGCTCTACACGTGTTTGCAGAGACAATTCAAACTCTTAAAAAAGCAATCCTCCATAGATTATTGATTATTATAATGATGTGCCTCAGTCTCTTTGGCCTCATTATCCATGTGTCCTTTCAGAACAGGTTATCCACACTGTATGTGTGTGTTGACCTGGCCTTACACACCATGTGTCCTTTCAGAACAGGTTTTCCACAGTGTATGTGTGTGCGGACCAGGCCTCACAGACCATGTGTCCTTTCAAACCAGGTTATACACAGTGTATGTGTGTGCGGACCAGGCCTCACAGACCATGTGTCCTTTCAAACCAGGTTATACACAGTGTATGTGTGTGCGGACCAGGCCTCACAGACCATGTGTCCTTTCAAACCAGGTTATACACAGTGTATGTGTGTGCGGACCAGGCCTCACAGACCATGTGTCCTTTCAAACCAGGTTATACATAGTGTGTGTGTGTATGATGACATCACTGACCTTGTAAACCACACTGTCCTTATAGACCGTGTTTTTGAAAAGTCTTTACAAACCCCTGAAAAGTCTTGAAAACAGTCATTTTTTATATCTCAGTGCAGCAAAGGAAATCTTTAAATTTTAAGCCGTGTATAGGTTCTGTGATTTTTTTCATGATCATTGATATGATTTTTGAGGCTCTAGCACCACGGGAACCCAGTGTCCCCGTATACCTATGTACAGTCTGGTTTAAAGGGATTTTAGAAAAAATGTCCTTACAACGTCTCAAACGTGTGTGTGTGTGTGTGTGTGTGTGTGTGTGTGTGTGTGTGTGTGTGTGTGTGTGTGTGTGTGTGTGTGTGTGTGTGTGTGTGTGTGTGTGTGTGTGTGTGTGTGTATAGATCCCCCGTAGGAGAAATTCAGGTGTTCCTGAATTTGGATTATGTTATTGTGTTTTTACGGCTCTTGTGTACTTCCTCCACCATAGCAGAATGGGCCGTATCTTCCTGGATCACATCGGTGGCACTCGTCTGTTCTCTTGTGCAAACTGTGACACAATTTTAACGAATCGAGCTGAACTCATCTCCACACGCTTCACTGGGGCCACAGGGCGAGCCTTCCTCTTCAACAAGGTACAAGCCCCCACCATTTGTGTATCACCCTGAAATACAAGCAGCTGTCATCTCAAAGTTGTAGATTCACTAACAATGGATCCGAGAATTATACAGTTCAAACACAGGAAATGCAATGATAGCAAACACATAGAATCCATTGGTCCATAGGCAGTTGGATGACCGCTGTCCAGAGATGTCCCAGAGCATCATTCACTGTCCTTCAACCCTCCTGCATCGGCAAGGAACCACTCAGAAACCAGAGGGGAAAAAAAAAACTGCTGGCAAGGTTGCTGAGTGGTTAGCAGTGTCTTGCTTCTTCTCAGCAAGAAAGTCCTGTGTTTGATTTCACCTCCAGACAGGGCCTTTCTGAGTGGAGTTTTCATGTTCTCCCCATGTCCTTCTAGGTTTTGTCTGTGTGTGCTGGTTTCCCCTACCACTAAAAACTAGTACAATAGCTACCCTCTGGTCTCTCTCTCTCTGGCCTCTCTCTGGAACTCCTGAAAAAAGATTCTCAAAATCTCAATTTTGCTGTTAAATAAAGGACAATAAGACACAGACAAAAGTAAGTATTTTTTATTCATACAGTGCCTTTCACAGTTGAGAGTCGCAAAGCGCTTTTTGCTGTGGGCATTTGTCCTCTCTCCACACACGTGGGGTTGCCTGTAAACAGGAGGCGCATGCCAGACCTATTGTACATGTTTAGAGTGGTAGAGGAAACCGGAGCACAAACAGGAAGAACATGCAAAAAGGCCTGGAGGTGGAATCAGACCCAGAGCTCAACTATCTTGCTAATGATTGAAATGAAATGTAATGAAAATATATTTTCATATTTTGATTCAAAGAGTTGTGCTTTGAAATATGTTTTGAAAACACAACTTCTCTTCCTTCTTGTTGTGATTTCCTTGTTGTGCTTTTCAGGTGGTGAACCTGCAGCACAGCGAGGTCCAGGACAGGGTGATGCTGACGGGGAGACACATGGTGCGCGATGTTAGCTGCAAAAACTGCAACAGCAAACTAGGCTGGATGTACGAGTTCGCCACCGAGGAGAGCCAGCGCTACAAGGAGGGCCGTGTCATCCTGGAGAGGGCGCTGGTGAGGGAGAGCGAGGGCTTCGAACATGTCCTGTCCGACAGCTGAGACGCAGCTCCTCACACGGACACTGGCTCTCCAAGTCTATAATATAATAGTTAAATTGTAAAGGGGTCAGTTATCTGCTTATGTTGTTGTCCTGTCAGTGATGCTCCTCAGCACGGCTTTCATTTGTGCAATAACTAGAAATTGAAATTGTTATAAAAGTTTGCGTTCATGTGACATCCCAACATTCCAAAGAGCCCATTGTTAAAAATTGTGGCAGCTGAATTTTTTTTCCTGGTAACTATGCTTATTCCTGGAACAATCCACATGGAACAAAAACTGTCGTATAGTTCCACATCTTTGTCAGCATAAATCTGCAGTTATTTTCTCTCGCTGGTCACTCTTGCTGGTTTCTTCTGGTCACTCTCTTGTCCCTGTTTGGTGTTTCTCTCTGGTCTCACTCTGGTTATTCTGCTCTCTCTCTGGTCTCTCTCTGGTCTCTTTCTGGTTTCTTACAGTCAAGATTACTATGGTGCTTTGTGAATCCCTTCACAATTTGGCTCTTTCGCCTACAGGTACTTTGGTACCTTCTGAAATACTGAAATAGAACTCTACAACTTGAACGCAACTAATTTAACTCTATTGAATAATACCAAAAGTTACTTAACCACAAATGCTGAACCTTTTCTTAATATTTCCACAAATATTGATATTATTTTTAAAGCTGACCTTTAGCTTTCTCAATCCCAACAATTACTGCCTACTACCTCCAGCTCAAATACAAGCCCCATCCATTTTGATAACCTCATAGTGTGGCTTGTATACATTGAATTTCCTACAAAACAATAATATCTGATAGAAACTGAATGCCTGCCCCCTTTGTGTTTTGTTTAACCGCGTCACAGCAGTGTATATGTTTCACTAAATCTGCAGTAGAGTTTTGGATCTTCAGGCTTGTTTCCATCATCCCTACTCCTACTTTACCCTACTCTACTATACCCTTATTGGGATTGTTCTACTGGCCCTGTTTAATTTGTACCAGGCCCTTCTTTAGTCCCTCTTGACACCGAGTGCTGCTCGAAGCCATGGTTACCAAGGAAATTCCCTGGATACTGTTTTGTTGGGGGTGAGTTGTTAGCAGGGCCAAGTAGAGCTGGTGGAAACGGGGCAATTATTGCTATTAATATTAATTAATATTAATATTGCTTGATCCCACAGGGGAAATGTAGTTCTTGACTAAACAGAGAGAACATTATGTGTATATTCAACTAATATGTATTTTCAGAAAAAAAATATTGTGTGTAAAGTATTGTGCATTGCTGTTGTAGCAGAAGGATGTGTTTGTTTCTGTCTTAATTTTTATATGTAATTGCACCAAATTTATTTATTTTGAGTTCTGTCAGTTATGTATGGAGTCTGTTGTTGTGAAGTTGTATTTGGTTTCTGGTGTAATTAAAAATTAATGCAATTTACTTTAGTCTTTGTGTATAAAAAGATTACATAAAAATATGCTCCTGAGTTCATTCCTAACACAACAATTATTAGGTTAAGATTTTGACCTCATGGTGCGGTTTCGCTCCGAGTCACTCTGGCTCTAATGGACTCATGGTACATGTAAAAATAAACTCTCGCTCAACAACCTATGTCCCACTCTCTGATATTTTGGCTTAAATGCGAGGTTTAGTACACTGATCCTGGTGTTTATATTGTGATAGTGTCTGTAAATGCAGATAATTGCCTTCATTCATGCCTTCATTCATGAGTCAAATTCCAAAACGGAACTAAAGTTTTTTCTACTGGCCCTGCTTAACTTAGTCCCTTATGCTGGTAATCAATATGTTGGTTACCAAAGAATGTCTGTTGTGGATAAGTTTCTAGGATACGGTACTAGTTACTCAGGCGAATAGAATCGCAACCACATGCCAAATGAAGGAAATCGGCTCCAGCTATCTTGCATACAAATCAGCTGTTTCCACATTACGGCTAACACTATTGTGACGCCAGCACACATTCAGTCCACTCTTAATATACGCTCTATGCTTAAAACATGTACTATCCACAAAGATTATTATTATTTTGAACAAGCCCAATGTGCGGGGAAAGCAGCTTATTTGGCAACTCATACCGTAAGTTGGAGCAAAGTGTCGTGAACAGTGGCACCGCTTCTCTTCCTCGGGCGCTATCTTTGATAGAGCTTTAGTACTTTCGCATATTGAGGTAATGATCTGGTTTTAAAAGTAATTTGGTCATTTGTGACACAGACGTCTCACTGTTAGAGTGGGTGAATAAGTGCAAGTGTGTGTCCTTGGACTGCTTGTAGAGTGGACTGTTTGGTGTTAGCGTGCTAACATTGAGTATGAGTATTAGTATGAGTATTTACTGTTATGACTGTTATGACACAGTTATGTTTTGTTCATGCTTTTCCTCCTGCAGCTATGGCCTCAGCTCCAGCACAGCAGCCCACTCTGACAGTGGAGCAAACCAGAGGTGAGGCATCCCTACATCACATACACTAGTTTTAAGGAATACAGGAAGATATTCTGTGTGGAATAAACACAGATCCTGTGTTTAATAGAAGATGCCTGTGTTCACGGTTATTGTCTGCAGCTTAAAGTGATCACTTGGAACAGGGGGTTGGCACTAATAAGCTTTCTTGCTTCAGCCTACTCCTTTTGAGCCACTTTATAACAGTATAACCTTGTAACAATGAAAAATATGTTTGTAAAATGCTCAAATAAATAACAATCAATCAATCAATCAATCCATGTTTTGAGTTGTATACATATTAATAGGCTTTATTAAGAAAACAGAAGGCCCATAGACTTTTATTTTAGACAAATAAAACCAGGATTGGTCAAAAACCAAAGCTCCTTTTTCCACCAGCCCCACTTGACTCGTCTATTCGGTTGCGTTTCCATTACGCTTTGATATCTGGTACCGTATCCTTATCCTACCCGCAACAAACTAGTATCTAGGGATAATCCTTGGAAACCAGGGATTCCAGCAGAACTCTGTCCAATCACTGTCAGAACACTTTAGTACCAGTTCTGCCTGGATAGGACCAGGGCCAAGAGGAACTAATTAAGAATCTGGTACTGGTTAAAAAGGCACGGTGGAAACTGGTTACACTTGAGCAGGGGGGATGAAAACATCCTTATAATTTATGTCATTGTAACATTTTAAATAATAATTGTTTTGATTCAGTCAAAACATACAGTCACTGAACTAGTTCAGAAAAATCTACCAGAAAAAATAATCTTGCCACTCTGGTTCAATTATTAGATCATTTTTAGAGGGGGTGTTTTAAAAATGCATACACAAGTTGCACTGTGCCCTAACAGCGTGAGTAGGTCAATGTGTGTGTAGAGAACCTCCCATGTGACAAGTCGAGCTGGGGTTTCACTTTCATGTATCTGCACTGTACACCAGATGGCAACAGGAGGATCTTTGTTTACATCCGCGTGCACATGCGCCACTCGCTGGGTGGCAACAAGACAGAGAGGCTTGATGCGACGAGTACTTTTAAAAGACTAAGTGGACGAATAAAAAATAAAACAACTGCATATAAGCACTTAAACACAAGAAGATCAGAGGAGATATAAAGACAAGCTCAAAATAAGTATATGAGACCGAACTGAACAAATCCAAAGCCCATATGAGACCTGGGATGACGAGAAAAACATTGAGCAGACTCACATCTGTCTTGGCACCAATCTGCTGGGAGACATTTATTCTTACTTCATAGAAAACCTTCACGCAAGAAGGGACCCTTTCTTAGTGAAAATCCATTTCTCGAGTAAAGTTGCCCGCCTTTTCGCCGCTGGGGTAAAGTGGTCCGCACATTAAAAGCGGGTTGCTTCTTTTTGCTGTTACTTACGGTAAACGTGGAACAGGAAGCCGCGGGGATGAGAAAACAAAATGCAATGTTTAAAATTAATCATCACAGTGAACAAGTACGCAGTGAAAGAAGTTTTAAAACTTTTTTATTCCCCTCATCCCTCCGGCTTCCCGTTCTACGTTTAGCGTAGGTAACAGCATAAAAGGCCACTTTACCGTGGCCGTTTTTTGCTGTTCTTTTCCGAAAGAATTAGAAAAAAAACTCTCTGTTCCCAACGGGCCGTACAACCGACCACACAACAAGAATGGACCTTTTCCATCCATCCATCCATTTTCTTCCCCTTAATCCATTTCTGGGTCGGGGGGGTGGCAGGCAGAGCTGCACCCAGTACACTGAGCACCAGCCCCTCACTGATCCTCCTGCAGGTGGTGAGTCCACAGGAGCTGAGATCTTTCAGTGCTGTTAGAATGGACCTTTTGATTTAGTAAAACCTCTCTCCAAAACGTCTAAAAATAGCTAACTCTCTAGCATCCAGGTAGCTTTCTATGCCGTTTTGCCATCCGGTCACGTGACCGGCGTGAAAAAACTATAAACAATGACGTCACTCCAAGATCCTCCTACAGATTAGTTGAAAACGTGTCTATTAAAATCCTTTTGTCTAAATCCCTTCATCATATAAGAAATGCATAAAAAATATCCACAGCTTCATTCACTTTTAAAGCACTGGCCTTAGGGAGCCATTTTTAAATCTGCTCCCTGACTAAAATGAGTTCGACAGCCCTGGGGAAGAGGGACAGGTATTAGATCAGGTGATTGTTGGTGTGAATGACCGTGGACTGGTCTTGGATGTGGTTGGTGTGAATGACCATGGACCTACGTACAAATTGGCCTTTTCCACATTAAGGCCAGAACTCATTCTGTCCACTCTTAAAAGGACCCATATTATGCTTTTTGACTTTTCTGCTTTAAAACGTGATTACAGTGCTATTTGGCCTTCATACATATGCCTAGAGTAATTTTTTTCATTGATACCATCAAGCTTTAGTCAGAGACCGATCTTTCTCTTTCATTCTCGAGAGGCACAGAAACAAGCCAATTCAAATCGTGACGTGGCACAATCCGTGACGTCAAAAGCGTCACTGATTGACAGCAGGGAGAAACTGAACCAGCGCTGTCTATGCAGCCTCTCTTCGAGTCCAGCGTGTGGTCCATAGACAGTAAATAAGTCTCAATGCTTTTTTGTGTTAGCTTCATGTCAGCAACTTTTGTTTGATCTGCCTCGTATCCCTGAGTCTGAAATCTGCGTCGAAACTCGATCTTTTTTTGCGAGGGACGGTGACATCACTAAAGACTGTTCTAGAACTAGTTACCTTGAAACGGGATCTACTCAAAAGTTGATCTGGAAAACTGGTGTTATTTCCAACATACAGTGAGGTAAAAAAGTATTTACAAATTGTATAACAAATTGTAAACCGCTTTGTGACTCTGGTCTGTGAAAGGCGGTATATAAAAAGATTACTTACAAAAAAGTATTTAGTCAGCCACCGATTGTGCAAGTTCTCCCACTTTATATAATGACAGAGGTCTGTAATTTTCATCATAGGTACACTTCAACTGTGAGACAATGAAAAGAAAAAAATCCAGGAATTCACATTGTAGGATTTTTAAATGATTTATTTGTAAATTATGGTGGAAAAAGTATTTGGTCACTTCAAACAAGGAAGATCTCTGGCTCTCACAGACCTGTAACTTCTTCTTTAAGAAGCTCTTCTGTCCTCCACTCGTTACCTGTATTAATAGCACTTGTTTGAACTCTATCTGTATAAAAGACACCTGGCCACAGCCTCAAACAGTCAGACTCCAAACTCCACTATGGCCAAGACCAAAGAGCTGTCGAAGGACACCAGTAAAAGAATTGTAGACCTGCACCAGACTGGGAAGAGTGAATCTGCAATAGGCAAGCAGCTTAGTGTGAACAAATCAACTGTGGGAGCAATTATCAGAAAATGGAAGACATACAAGACCACTGATAATCTCCCTCGATCTGGGGCTCCACTAAGATCTCATCCTGTGGGGTCAAAATGATCATGAAAACGGTGATCAAAAATCCCAGAACCAGACGGGGGACCTGGTGAATGACCTGCAGAGAGCTGGGACCAAAGTAACAAAGGTTACCATCAGTAACACACTACGACGACAGGGAATCAAATCCTGCAAGGTCAAGGTCAAGTTTATTTATATAGCACATTTTAAAAACAGACAGGACTGTCACAAAGTGCTTACCAGACATTGTAAAAATACAAGACACAAATAACATTCAGCATAAAATAAAATGCAGGACACCATCATAAATGTTTCAACATTGCTTGTGTTAAAAAGCCAAAGCAAAGAAATGTGTCTTTAGCTGCGATTTTAAACTCTCTACAGAGGGGGCAGCTCTGATGGAGTAAGGGAGAGCGTTCCAGAGTTTAGGCCCTGCCACAGCAAAGGCTCGGTCTCCTCTGGTTTTTAATCTAGACCTGGGACAGTGCAGAAGAAGCTGGTCAGAGGACCTCAGTGCTCTTCCCGGGGTGTGCAAAGTAAGCAAGTCAGTCAGATATGACGGAGCCAGGTCATGCAGAGATTTAAATACTAACAATAACATTTTAAACTTAATTCTAAAAGCGACAGGAAGCCAATGTAGAGACGACAGCACAGGAGTGATGTGCTCGTGTCGTCTGGTGCCAGTCAGCATTCGAGCTGCTGCATTCTGTACCAGCTGCAGTCTGTGGACTGAGGACTGGTCAAGGCCATAGTATAAAGAGTTACAATAGTCCAGCCGTGTGGATATGAGGGCGTGGACAACCTTCTCAAGGTCATTTGGTGGAAGATAGCCTTTAACTTTGGTCAACAGTCTCAGCTGGAAGAAGCTGGCTTTGACAACTGAACTTATTTGTTTGTCCATTTTAAAAGCACCATCAAAATACACACCAAGGTTTTTTGCAAGTGGGCGGCAGTAGGAAGACAGGCTAGACACACCGTTGAAAACAGACGGATCAGGTTCACCAAACAGTACAATTTCTGTTTTTGTGTGATTCAGGTTTAAAAAATTGATTGACATCCAGTTTTTTACATCGTCAAGACATTTCTGCAGTGCTTGGACGGAATCGGAATTCACATTCAAAGGCAAATAGATTTGAACATCAGCAAAGCAGTGAAATGAAATGTTATGCTTTTTGAATATCGAGCCTAAGGGCAACATGTACAGTGAAAATAAAACTGGTCCTAAAACGGAACCCTGCGGTACACCACTGTCAAGGGAGGCTTTCTTTGAGCTGCAAGAGCCGAGATTTACAGAAAACACCCGATCGGACAGGTACGAGTGGAACCACTTGAGTGCTGTGCCTTTAATTCCAGCACAGGACTCAAGGCGGGAGAATGTTATGATCGACAGTGTCGAATGCTGCTGTCAGATCTAGAAGCACTAACACCGAGGGGCTTCCGGAGTCAGAGATTAAAAGAAGATCATTAATTTTCAACAGTGCAGTTTCTGTGCTGTGCAAGGATTTAAACCCAGATTGAAATTTTTCTAAAATATCATTTGATTTAAGGTGCGACTGGAGCTGGTTAAGAACTACCTTTTCTAGAACCTTGGATAGAAAAGGCAGTTTAGAAATAGGCCTAAAATTGGACAAGACAGATGGGTCCAAATTGTGCTTTTTTAGCAAAGGCTGCACAATGGCCTGTTTAAAGGCAGCTGGGACACAGCCCTCTTCGAGTGACTGATTGATCAGGTTTAAAATACAAGGACCTACAGAATCTAAAACATCTTTAAACATTCTCGCAGGCAGGGTATCTAAAGGACAGTTAGACACTTTAAGTGTTTGAACAGTCTGCAGTAATTCAGACAGAGAGATGGGCTCAAAGTCTGCAAAAACAGCTGAACAAGGAGAGACAAGACTGGGATCCACTACAGCACATGAGGTTGAAGAGCGCAAAGAAGACACTTTCACGACTGGCACTGCAGTGCCAGTCGTGTCCCCCTGCTGAAGCCAGTGCATGTTCAGGCCCGTCTGAAGTTTGCCAGAGAGCACATGGATGATACAACAGAGGATTGGGAGAATGTCATGTGGTCAGATGAAACCAAAGTAGAACTGTTTGGTATAAACTTGACTCGTCGTGTTTGGAGGAAGAAGAATACTGAGTTGCATCCCAAGAACACCATACCTACTGTGAAGCATGGGGGTGGAAAGGTCATGCTTTGGGGCTGTTTTTCTGCTAAGGGGACAGGACGACTGATCCGTGTTAAGGAAAGAATGAATGGGGCCATGTATCGTGGCCTAGCCAGACTCCAGACCTCAACCCCATTGAAAATCTGTGGAGTTGAAAGTCAGTGTTGCTCGGTGACAGCCCCAAAACATCACTGCTCTCGAGAAGATCTGCATGGAGGAATGGGCCAAAATACCAGCTACTGTGTGTGCAAACAATGTAAAGACATAGTAATCGTTTGACCTCTGTAATATAACCTTTTGTTGGCAATAAAGTATTGAGTTGAATGTTATTGACCAAATACTTATTTTCCACTATAATTTACAAATTCTTTAAAAATCCTACAATGTGAATTCCTGGATTTTTTTTTTTTCACATTCGGTCTCACAGTTGAAGTGTACCTATGATGATAATTACAGACCTGTCATTATTTTAAGTGGGAGAACTTGCACAATCGGTGGCTGACTAAATACTTTTTTGCCCCACTGTATAAGGCGCTAGCGGGAGCCTCTTGCGTACATTGATGCTAACTTGCCATGTGTCACTGAACTAAATAATTAGGGCACGATGTGATGGGCTGCCATTGTTGGAAAACGTTTCTCAGGTGTGAAATGACTAACTGAAAGCTGTACAGTTAGCTTTTGTTTACCTAAAACTTAGTGTGATGCTACGTCACCGAGCAGACGGGGGGAGGTGGGCTCACAGAGGAGCACTGATCCAAGCGTTTCACATAAGGTGTCATCTGCTCTATACACGAAATGGCTATAACTTGACATTTTGAGTGTTGTATGGTCCATCCATCCATCCATTTTCTACCCTTTAATCCATTTCTGGGTCAGGGGGGTGGCAGTCAGAGATGCCACCCAAGTCTCATAGCACCAGCCCCTCACTGACCCTCTGCAGGTGGTGAGTCCACAGGAGGACGGCTGCTCTCTGAGTGTGAGCATAGCCTTGATCTTTCAGTGGGGGCTTTGGGCAAAGTGGGGTTAAGTGTCTTGCCCAAGGACACAACGACAGCAGTCATCAGTGGGAGTCGGTGGAGAAGGTGCAGAGGTGGGAAATGAACCCACGACCTTCTGGGCTTAAGGCCAATGCTCTACCAACTGAGCTACTGTCGTGTTGTATGGTGTATGACCCAAATTATTATCACATGTGCAGAGGATGGACTGTGAAAAATTAAGAAAAGTGAAAAATGGCGCCTTTAATGTACGATCTATGCATATAACATGTACTACTATCCACGTTTGGTGTGTTCATTCCCAGTGGTTCTGAGTGAGGTGATCCAGGCCTTTGCGGCGCCAGAGAACACCGTTCGGATGGACGAGGCCCGAGAAAGTGCATGCAACGACATGGGCAAGATGTTACAGCTGGTGCTTCCTGTGGCAACGCAGATCCAACAGGAAGTGATCAAGGCATACGGCTTCAACAACGAGGGGGAGGGTAAGAATCTGAAACCAGGAAATCTCATCCCCTCAATCATCCTCTTGTGAGGCAAGGAAGCTAAGCTGATAGAACCTCTTAGCTTCAGAGGTCTGACTGAACCTGGTTAGTACTGTGATGGGAGACCTCAAGGAACACCAACTGCCAGTGGAACAACTGCGGCTAAAAAGCGGCAAACTCTGGTTGTGTCCTTTAACAAGACACGTCACCCACATTAGAATGAGTCGTGTGTGCATGCAGGGTTGCTGGTGGTGGGACGCACAGACTAGTTGCCTTGCTTCTGTTAGCCACAGCTGCCCTGGGGTACACAAAGTTGTAGCTTACAGGCCTCTAACCCTCTTTTGTATTTCTTCACTCTTTAATGCACTGATTATCAAAAGTAAAGATTTTCCTTGTTTTATAAAGCACTATGAGCTGTGCTATACAAATATACTCCTTGTCACCAGTGTATGGAGTGAATCAAAGCTGTGGAGCGTCTCAGTATCCATAAAGGGATTTTAATAGGGCTGTCAAACGATTACAATTTTTAATAGAGTTATTTACATTTGTTGAAAGCCGCCCACAGTTGCTGGACGCGGGAACCGCTGTCCAAAGCGGCCGCAGCTGCCCCAGAATGCTGGACTCCCATTCACAGCAAGTGCCCTGCGGTCACGCACGCAGGGGGTGCCAGTCATTTGGCACATGCGTTAAGAGTTAATACAACATTTAATTAGTCACGTTAATTTATTAACATGCGTTAACGCAATAATTTTGACAACCCAAAATTTTATATTACTATTTGCAGTAGCGTTAATATTTTATACAATGTCCTGTTCTTTTAGGTGTTCTGAAATTTGCCAGATTGGTGAAGATGTACGAGACACAGGATCCAGAGATTGCCGCCATGTCAGCAAAACTCAAGTCCCTTATGCTCCCTCCACTCTCAACCCCACCCATAGGGGGCGCCATCCCGGCTTCGTAGAGCAGAGGGTGACAGCTTTTATAACCACATCATGTCTTCACTTTTTACCATTATTTTTATTATGTTTTTGTATTAAATTATTTCAATTGTATTTATTATTTTAATCACATTGTTTAGTCACCATTTTGTACCATACTGTTTTATTCAGTGGATCCAAGCACACATTAATAAATTAACCTTTTGGAATTTGTTTTATTTGAAAGTAGAGCCAAGTAGAGAAAGCTATACTTTGCTCACATTTCCTTACAGAGACAAATCATAGATTGCTTTGTCTAAAATGTTTTACAAATTCAATGGATACAAGGTTTAAATTAAGGTAATAACTTTAATATTACATTAAGGCTGAGGGAACCACAATAAATGTGTTCATAAAAATAAAAAAATATGTACACAACACATTTCAAACATACATGCAACAGTTCATACATCACTTTAGATTAGGCTTTAAATATATAAGTGACATAAATAAGTGCTCTAACATAGTGCTTCACAAAAACCTGGGTGTCCATAAAGTGCTGGGGAAAAAAAATACTTACAAATCACACGTGTCTTGTGCCCAGAGCCCGATCAGCTTTGTGTTTGTACAACATCCATCCAGATTAAAAGCAACTAAAACCATGACATTTGTGCCAACAACATCAAAGTTCTTCCTAAAAGTTTACATCTCAAAGTGACGAAAGATGCTCTCCACATAACCCAGCACAGTCTGCCAGTGGGGCCCTTCCTCCCTGAGCACATCTCCCACTGTCTGGACAAAAGTCAGAGGTTAGACACAGTCCACATGAAGTCAAAGTATGGAGACGTGTCTCGTGTCTCCCTCCCCACCCTCCTGTCCCCCCCTTCCATGTCTCCCCCTCTTTATTTGGATGTGTAGATTGTAGACCGTTACCATGGTGGCAGTGATCCCGAAGGTCTCTCCAGTCTTAAAGGCAAGAAGAAGATTTCCCTCCTGCAAAAAGTTACATTGTACAAAAGCATCAGCCTCCGCAAACTTAAAAGTCAGAGGATATGTCAGAGAGGAGTCTTGGAAGTTTTTCTGCAGTTACCCTGTTCTCCGGTTTGAGTGTGCTGAATGGGATGGCAGCAGGTACATATGTGTGGAACAAAGCACAGAAGGCCAGGCCGTCCTCCCAACTGCTGCTGAAGTTGGTGATGTCAATATTCTGCACAATAAACACTCACATCAATGTATATTATATGTATGTTGGAGGAGTTTTTCTCTTTAGAATAACTCGATAGCCTCGCTTCTGTACCTGATAGCCACGCGTTCGCTCCTGACTCCACCGCAGCAGTGAGTTCCGTCTGGAGCCACCGTGGCGCCGCAGCAGTGCACTGAATCCATCTTGTGTTCTGACAAAACCAGGTCAAAGCAACAGTTTCAAACAGTTCCGTGTGAAAATGTCCCAAACCAAACACACGCTGCTTACATCATGCAGTCAGGCTCCTCTTGTTTCACCGAAACTACGAGAAAGGACACATTATGATAATATTGTGACACAGAAGACCCTGGAAGAGTCTGGTACCAGAGTAAAAGCAGGACCAGCTGTCCTGCCGCTGAAACACTTTATCCATTCTTCCTTCTTTGACTTCCTTCTGAAACAAAAAAGACAGTATTTCAACAGCGTCAAAATGTCATGATGCAGAATTCCATTTAAAGAGCGACTAAACACCTGTGCCCAGCCTTACTCCGCCCACATGAAGATTTGAAAATTTTCTCTAAAAAGGGCGTTGCCTGGAGGACCAAGGGACAAGAAGGGGGGCTTAGAGTTGGGCGTGGTCTGGGCTGTGATTGACAGCTCACTTGTCACACACAAAAAAAACAGACAGTTGTCATTGCTGCTTAAAGCAATGGTTTACAGACCAGAAAGTCTCATTCCACCCTTGATAACACACTAAGATAATTGTAAAGCTACACACCTGAACCTAATCACACTCAATAATCTCAGAATCACTCATGTAATTTAATTTTAATCCACTAGATGGTGCCAGAATACTCCAAACTGCAGCTGGGGCGTGTGTGAGAGTTGAATGGGTTCACATCACTGGCTCTGACAGACTGACGTCACACAAAACAACTGATGTCATAGAGAACTTCAGAGTCAATGGAGAGGCCAGAACCAAATTAAAATGTAGTACCACCAAAAAGGTTGACGCCACACAGACGTTTTTTGGCTCAAAAGTAATATTTTATCTAATTTGAACTAAAATGACCAGGATATGTAGAGAGCACTACAATAAGCATATGTATGGAGTTTATGAGTTGAAAAAAGTTGATTTGGCGTTTAGTCGCTCTTTAAGTATTTCAACAGGTGCCAATACATATGAGAAAGAAGCATGAGAAAGACATTTTTTTTAGAGCCACTTTAGTTCAGACTTTTCCAGGGGATGACAGCATAGATTCTAAAATTGAGTAGATTCAGAATTTTCTGAGCTTTAAAATGGGGGATAATGTTCATATAGTTTCACACCACAGCGTCATATACAACATTTTGTGACTCAAAAACAGTCAATATAATACATTAAAAGTTAACAACTGGGGCCGTATTCCTAAAGATTCTTACTGCTAAAAGTTGCTCCTAGTGGCCAAATTCTAAGAATTTTCTTAGAATCTTGACCAACTCTTAGAATTTCCCCTAAAAGTGAGGAGTAGCTCCTAGTTAAGATAAAAGCTATTCCTAAAAAATCCTAGCTCTTAAGAGTGCTCTTAAGGGGAGATCCCTTAAGAGTTGAGAGGAGGACTTTTAGCGACTTAAAAGTTCCCTAAGAGCACAAAATGGTGGACGGTGGAGACAGGAGAAATATTCTATACACTGGATGACAGTGAATCAGTGAAACGCTACAGATTCAAGCAGGAATCATGTTTGTGGTATATTTAAAAGTCAATCATGTGACCAGCTTCTCATTGGCTGGTCAGCAATAACACCTCATCCATTTTACCTTTGTTACACAAAAGTAAGTAGAAATGGTAAAAGTTGAAAGAGGAAAAAGTGGTCCTAAATTGTCACACATTCAGTACGAATGAATGAATACTTTATTTTGAGCCATGGCAAACAAGAAAAAAAAGGACAAAACAAACAAAACAACAACAGAATAGAAGTAAAAATATACAGTTTTGTTTTATTAACAACAATCCAGCTCAAAAAGGAGTGGGAGAGGATAAGACTTTTAAGCTCCCTTGTACTTTATTTGTACAGTGTATGTATAATATGTTTATATTAATATTGTTTCCTTAATTCCTTATAAGTCTATACATATCACAGCCTTTACTAATCCTAACGTTATCATTATCATCATTTATCCATATAATATTTATAATAATAATTGTCTTTATCATGTATATTATATATAGAGTAATATTTAAATTATATGTAATATATATATATATATATATATATATATAAAATTATAAGTGCTCATGATATATACGTATTATGTGTGATAAATTGGTGCTGAGCAAGCTCTGATGATGGTGTATAAGTCTAACTTTACTATTCACAGTATTTATGTACCATTGATATATCTGACTTTATAGCTTTTGGTTATTATTTACAATAACACAGTGTTCCTAAGAATAGATTCCATGATTGAGTTTGTCCATTTTAGGGCCCTTATTTTGCCTATTATCATCAAAAATATGTTTGTTCTAACTTTTAGGATCAACCAATCACAGCGTCTGAAATGATGACTCATACCTAGCAACGGGGTCGGCCACGCCTCCTCACTAAGATAAAAGTTGTTGTCAATTCCTTGCTCAGAGTTCTCTAAGAGTGTTCTGGAATAACTTTTAAGCTAAGACTCCTAGCTAGGAGTTTTTAGGTTAAGATAAGAGCTCTCTGAGAGGACTCTCAGAATCTTTAGGAATACGGCCCCTGGATTCTAGCAGTTCTGAGCTCCATTTTCAGCTCATGCTGTACCTTCTTGTAGAGTTTGAGGGCCACATGACGACAACTGGGCCACATTGGAACGTTGGAATCTGATCTTTAATACTGACCAGGACAGATGTTTCAGATGCTCCCCACCACATCTTTAAATCATATAGTAATAATGGATGCGTTTTATATCGTGTTTTTTCTCTGACACTCAAGACTGTTGTGATGTCACATTACCCCACCTTGCACAGGGGCAGCGTTGTGCTCACACCTTCCTCTTGTGTGGGACTCTTAGAGCGGAGCGGCAGCCGAGAGAGACTCCTGGAAACAATAGATAGTTTCTTTAACACTGAACTGAGCAGCTCTACACCCCAGCTCTACCCCCCAGCGTTTCCACTGGTACCACGTTCTTTAGTCGCTCTTGGCCCTGGTTATATCCAGTCCAAGCTGGTGCTAAAGTGTTCTAACGGTCAGTGATTTTCCCAAGAGCTGCTGGAAGCCATGGTTTTCAAGGAACTTCAGTGGATACTGGTTTGTTGTGGGTAGTTTTCTAGGGTACATACCAGATACTAATGCGAGTAGCATAGAGTAGAGTATGGTTGGTGGAAACAAGGCTCATACCAGGATCGCTCACTCAGCATCACTTTTTCTCTGTCCCTCAGCTCGTTCACCCTCTCCTTTTTCTTCTCCAGAGCGGCCAGTCTGCGGAGATAGCCCTCGGCCACGCCCCTGCCGGTCAGACTTTGGCTCCAAGTCTCATTCGAGAAGTCAGAGATTTGAAGCAGCTGTCTATCCTGGTCAGACAGTGGCTTCTCCTTGACCATGGCCGCCTCAGGGCCCAGTCCCGCCTCAGGGCCCAGTCCCGCCTCAGGGCCCAGTCCCGCCTCAGGGCCCAGTCCCGCCTCAGGGCCCAGTCCCGCCTCAGGGCCCAGTCCCGCCTCAGGGCCCAGTCCCGCCTCAGGGCCCAGTCCCGCCTCAGGGCCCAGTCCCGCCTCAGGGCCCAGTCCCGCCTCAGGGCCCAGTCCCGCCTCAGGGCCCAGTCCCGCCTCAGGGCCCAGTCCCGCCTCAGGGCCCAGTCCCGCCTCAGGGCCCAGTCCCGCCTCAGGGCCCAGTCCCGCCTCAGGGCCCAGTCCCGCCTCAGGGCCCAGTCCCGCCTCAGGGCCCAGTCCCATGAGTCTTGCCGCTTGTTGCTTCTGCAGTGTGAGGTCAATGAGTTTGCGACACGTTGCCTTGTGGTCAGCCCTCAGACTCTGCAGGTCCGAGACTCTGGCCTGCTCTCGGCTCAGGGCCTGGACCAGCTGCTGCTCCAGGGCCTCACACTTCTTCTGCAGCAGGTTCATGGTCTGCTCTGACTCCGATCTGAGGCGGTCAGCCACGGACACTGCCACCTGCAGGTCACGCTGGAACTGCCGCCAGTCCTCCCGCTCGGTCTGCAGCGGGAAACAAGAGAAAGGCAGCACACATGTAGCTACTTTTGCAATCTGAAAGCACAAAGCATTTCACAGATTGGTTACAATAATGACAATAATGACCTGGTACTTCTAGTACCAAATGTGCACAGGGCTTATACAACACAGGGTTCATTTGGAGATAAATGTGTGGAACTACAGGGGGTCTAACTCATCTTGATCAGGGGCTGGAATTCTTAAAGTGGTTTTGTTAGTGGAAAGTTAAATATATATTTACTTTTATTCATTGATTACAAAATACACATTTTGACGATAGGATTACCTTAATAATACCTTAAGTAAAAGATTTTGGATATAATTCTGTTTTTCAGAAGAACTAGTTTAGTTACTGTTAGTTTGGATTGAACCACAAAAGGTGGATCAACCTTTTTTATTCCTCTCCTCTCTCTGTTATAATCTACAGTAAGAATAATGGCATGTAATGCCACTGCCACGCTTGATTAAACTGACATTTCTCTAATAATTAATTTAACAACTTTGCTCTTTGACAAGCCATGACTCATGTATTACGTCACTTAAGGGATTTATCTTTGACATATTGGAGACACTTAAGAGGAACGTACATACTTCCCATTTCAGCTTCTAAATTAGATGCATTTATAGTGTGGGAAACGTTGAATACCTGCAGGGCTTCCCTCAGCCTCTTCACTTCTCTGCTCAACTCGTCCCGCTCCGACACCAGGTGTCTGAGCAAATCTGGGAGGAGAGAGAGCATTAGGACCTGCCATCTCACTCGCAACAGTGGACATATGGAGCACACAGACAAAAAAAAATTATAGTTGAACACACTTTCCCTAACAGTCAAAAAGTCTAGTTTAGGAAGGTTTATCATAGTAGATCAAGTTCTTCTCTTATATCCATTCGTTCTATTCCAGGGACCGACAATATGGTTTTCTAAAACTGCTTTGACTAGATTCAGGCCGTTATGAGATTTAACAAAGCATGATATGTCCATAGGTGACAGTAGCTCAGTTGGTAGAGCATTGGCCTTAAGGCCAGAAGGTCGTGGCTTCAATTCCCACCTTCTCCACCGACTCCCACTGATGACTGCTGTCGTTGTGTCCTTGGGCAAGACACTTAACCCCACTTTGCCCAAAAGCCCCCACTGAAAGATCAAGGCTATGCTCACACTCAGAGAGCAGCCGTCTTTCTGTGGACTGACCACCTGCAGAGGGTCAGTGAGGGGCTGGTGCTATGAGACTTGGGTGGCATCTCTGCTGGCCACCCCCCTGACCCAGAAATGGATTAAAGGGTAGAAAATGGATGGATGGATGGATATGTCCATATTGATTCAGATTTTACAGAGCTGAAGTTTACAAGCATAAACCATCACACCACATTAGTACCATATATGGAATTGCGTGACAATAAAAACAAAGGTCTGTCTATGTAAATAGGTTAAACATGGATTTCAGCTCAGTTTTGAGCTTCACGTGGTACATAAAGCCTATAATTGGCAGAGCTGAAGTTGGTTGGATGACACTGAACTTGTGTTTATGATTTCATAGACTACTCTGTTAGCAGCAGAGAACCGCATTAGGCCCATTGGCCAGCTTGGGTCAATGGGGGCGTAATGTGTAAAAAAATATTGTGCCTCCAGAACACTGGTATTGAACTCGGCCCTCAAAGGAACTTTTAGCTGCAGGTTTTTATGCAGGATGAATACTACTGCTCCAGGAGCTCCCAGCACTCACCCACTCCTCCCGCCGTGAGGTCCGTGTTGTGGACCAGTCCCATGGAGCTCTGGTAGTGCTCCATCAGGCCGAGCAGGACCAGGCTCATCTCTTCACTGGCCCCCTCCCCTGCTGCCTGGGGTTCTACGCCACTGTCCCGCTCCCAGCTCTGCTCCGAGGCCTCGTCCCGGCTGTCCACGCTGATCACAGCCCACTCTGAAGCTGTGGTGGTGGAGGGCCTGTGGGGCCAAGGAGGGGTCTGGGGGGAGGTGGTCTCTGGGGAGCTGCTGGGGTCACAGGGAGCTCTACAGGAGGCCATTATTGCACTGAGCACGGCCTCTGTGGGCGTGGTGGGTGGCGTTTGGAAGAAGTCCAGAGGAGAACCTGCAGTCAGAAGAGAATAACAGGATCACATAATGCTTCCTCTAACATTATCTTAAAGCTGGAAACGATCCTTCCACGCAATATGTAACTCTTTGGTTCTTTACGTTACAGATGTTTTTACCTAACATCTTTAGATCAGATTTTTCAGCAACAATAAGAGCCGATCTCGCTCTCATTGTGAGGTTTCTCATCGTTTCCTTAAATGGTTTTTGAAAGGTTCCTCTATGACGCAGGAGGGTCTTAGCACATTGATGATCCTAGACATGTATTAACATTTCTGGACAGTGGTCATCTCGTTCTCTATGCAACAATGGCTCCTATGTGTTATTATTGCAATTCCTGTGTTTGACCCTCTCGTGTCACTCTCCCTCTCGCGTCCCTCCCCTTCTCGCGTCCCTCTCCCGCTCTACCAAATCCCCTCCACTCCTGATGTATGGTCAATATGTAGGTTGGCCGAAGCACAATTCAGTCAGTTTGAAATTTCAATAGTTTCAGTGGTTTTTTTATACAGTGTATTGAGTGTATAAGATATTTTTAGCTGAACTTCACATAAGCCAGACCCTGCCCGCCTCTCGAGCCTCTGTCGTCTTGTGCGGAGTCATCGTTTTGCGGTGGCTGAGTGATGAAGTTTGATGAGCTCTGCTGCCTTCACAAGGGAATGATTCACACTCACCAAGGCCTGAGAGCAGCTGCAGCCCAGACATGCAGCCCAGACATGCAGCCCAGACATGCAGCCCAGACATGCAGCCCAGACATGCAGCCCAGACATGCAGCCCAGACATGCAGCCCAGACATGCAGCGTGTGCCAGACAGGTCTCTGAGCACCAGGGCCTTAAGTGTTAATGACAAGTTTGATTTTTATATTTTACAAAAACTGATATCTTTAGGACAAGACTTGTCCTGGGGCTGAGTACCCACATTTTAAAACCATTTTGACTGGATTCAGGCTGTTCTGAGCCTTAAATGCTATGATATGTCCATAGTGATACACACTTGAAAGAACTAAAGTTTACTAGCATTAACCATCTAATCCTTATATGGAAATGTGTGACAATCAAATAGAACATGGTGGTCACACAACACCACACAGTCCTCTTTACTGGCAGATCCACGGTTGTCCTTTCCAGGGTTGTTTCCCATTGTGTTGAAGGGGTTTGGAGTTTGGAGTCTGATGTTTCTCCCCTTGTCCTGGATGCTCAGGGGATCTGCAATCACACAATACATTAGTTGCAGTCGTTTGTGGCTCCATATCTGATGAACACTGGAATAGTAGTCATGTAGAAAAAAGGCAACGTTATGGGGTCTGTGTGTCGTCTGTAGATGTCAGAAGGCTGTACTTTACGCATGGACTTAAAACACCACAGAAGAGTTACTTCTCAATCAATAGTCCCATCAGCAGAAGAGCAGCAGCCAAAGACAATTACAGGACAAGCTCATATGTAACTACTACTTGTAGTTACTACTTGCAGTGAATGCGTGTGCATTCAATGCATTTGTATTTATTTTGATCTCCATTAGCTGTAATAAGTACAGCTATTCTTCCTGGAGTCAATCCAGCATGCTGCTCACAAAACAATATTTACACCAGTTTTCAACACCGAGTGATAATATTACCCACACACACACACACACAGGACATAGTGTATGCTTATCAGTGAATACATAAGAGAATATAATGACAGCATTAGTAGAGTAATGGTCCGGTTACTTAATTAGACCACCATTGGTCACACAACAGGTTTTATCAAATTAATACAGGAGAAGGTGCCTTTTCAAAAGGGCTTTAAATTGGTACTTACTGTTTGCATAAACAATATCACTTGGCTAAAAATTCCAACCAGACATGGCTCTATACATTACAGTACTTTTTCAATTGTTGGTTGTGACTTTGGGAAGTTTAAATCTGCCCTCCATGGCATGTCTGGTTTCATAATTATGATCATCCGAACTAAAATTTAACTCTTTGTACAGTACATTTGGAAGGTTAGTTGTAATTATATTTCTTATTAAGTTCATTAAGGAAGCAGTAAATTTCTCTTTTACCTTGAGCCAAGACAGTGTATTATGCATCCAGTTTACATTAGTTCTGAGTGAGCACCGAAGTGCACAACGAGCTGCTCTGTTTTGGACGGTTTGTAGAGCTTTTATATTTGTTACAGCAGCACAAGACCAAATCTCTGAGCAGTAGTCCAACTGCGATAATACAAGTGTTTTTATAACATCTGTAGTCATACTGAAAGATAACATATGGCGACATCTTTTCACCATTGAGAGGCACTTTCCCATTCTACTGGCCACCATACTAATATGTTTAGTCCAAGATAGTTCATTGTCAATTTCAATACCAAGCAGTTTGGTCTGTCGCACCTGCTCAACAGTTACTTCTTTGACAACAAGACTCAATTTGGGTTCATCCCGCAGCATGTGTTTTGTTCCAAAAACAATACTCTTTGTTTTGCCAATATTTAGAACTAGCTTGTTATTTGTGACCCACTCAAATACTGATGTTAATTCTTTCTTTAAAACAATTTGAAGTTCTTCAACCGTACTTTGTGATGAATAAATGGTCGAGTCATCGGCATACATTGCTATTTTTGACTTTTGTAACACTAGTGGCAAGTCATTTGTATATATAGAAAACAGGAGTGGTCCTAAGCAGCTTCCTTGAGGTATACCAAAGCTAATTGTTTTTATATCTGAGAAGCTTCCATTAAAAAAGGACAGTTTGTTTCCTGTTTTCTAAATAATTCTTAAGCCACAATTGATGCTGCTGGACTGAACCCAGAGCATTGCATTTTACTCAACAGAAGGTTGTGATCTATAAGATCAAAAGCTGAGCTGAAATCCAACAAACACAGCTCCTGCTAACCTTTTGTTGTCTAGTGCTATCAAACCAATCATTTGTCATCTGAGCCATAGCAGTCGCAGTCGAGTGACCTGCTCTGTACGCATGTTGGAAATCTATATTCAGATTGTTTTATAAAAAATATTTTTGTATTTGTTCAAAATACAATTCTTTCCATAATTGTTGCTCAGAGCAGGTAACAAGACTGATTGGCCTACTGTTAGGGCCACAAAAAAGGAACAGTAGCATTTTTTGGTAAAGGACAATTTTTGCTATTTTCCACGCCTGTGGATAGACCCCCTCCTTAAGACTTAAATTTAGAATATGAGCAATAGGAACAGCAACTAACTTTGCAGACAGTTTCAATAATTTAGAATCAATATTATCAAACACCAGACGGTTTTTCTTTACATTCTAATAGTAATTTTTTACTTGGCCAACAGTAACATTAATAAACTCAAACTTGCAGTTCTTTCCTGCCATAATATTGTTCCTTATTAAAATATTCTGCTTTTGAGTTATCAGTTTGTCCCATCTCACTTCTCAGTTGATCAATTTTATTACAGAAATAAGTGTTTAAGTGATTGGCTATGTCCAGTGGCTTGTAATAAAAATGAACCCCCTAAATTCAAGAAATGATGGAGTCGTTTTAGAATTTCTTCCATATATTATTTAGAATACTCCATATTTTTTTGCTATCATGTTTCTCATTTATGATCATTTTTTTATAATACAATTTCCTTTTCTTTTTTGTTTAATTTAGTTGCATAATTTCTCAGTTTTCGGTATTACAGTACCTGCCAATCTGATTCATAATTAGAGAGAATTGCCATTTTTTTAGCCTCATCTCTTTGTACCATGCAGTCTTTAAGTTCAGCATCAATCCAACCCACTCTTACTTTTTTTGTTTTACTGTTCTCTTTTTTTAGAGGAGCAGGTTTATCATCACTTGTGAAAACATGCTTATTAAAGACTTCTACTGCATGAGCTAGATTATTAGTCATCAATACATCATCCCAACAAATGTTACGGACATCCCTCAATAAAACTACCTTCAGTAGAGTGTTTGTATGACCTTTTCACAATTATTTAGGTCCTCCTTTTGGAACTCTGGTTTTCCTCACCATTGCTATTAAGTTATGATCACTACAGCCTACTGGGATGGATGATAGCTGTGGTGCAGAGGTCACCAGCGTTAGTGTGAATCAATAGGATGGTCACCGTCAAGGTAGATGTTTTTGGAGTTCCCGTCAAAGAAACGTCAGTAGATTCCAGTTATATTGAAGTCTACAGCTTATTCCGAGGTACATAGGTTGGGGTCGGGGTACAACAATATTTATCAGCTGTGTTATGGACCAGTAAGTTCAATATTGTGTAGCGTAAGATCAAACTTCTTATTTTTACTGGTA